AGGGAGCCCGATGCGGGACTCGATCCCGGGACTCCAGGATCATGACCTGAGCCGAAGGCAGTCGCTTAACCAACTGAGCCACCCAGGCGCCCATCCAGTATTGTTAAGCCAGAAGAGACTCATAGATCCGTTGTGCAAAGAAAGCGAGCCGGGGCCTGAGGAAAGAGTTGTCGCAGAGTTCCCGGTAGCTTCAATTCTGGCAGCTGTTACGGACTCCATGGCCTGGACGAGATTTGGTGCACCAGGGCCATTTCCCACACCTGTGCCTAGTCCACCCTCTTTAGCCCCAGTGAGCTGATCCTGATAAGGGCGGCTTAGAACTCTTCTTCAGGATCTTTAAGCCCAAATGAGATGCGGGTTTTGAAGGCTTTTTATACGCTAAAAGCACTGTACAGCTGTGACATATCAAAATAATATTATTTTCCTCAGGACAGTTGTAATGGCCTGCAGTTATTTATGTTTTTGTATCACTAGTACCTGTACAAGTACCCAGTGCGTGTGTGTTGTGTATGCTGCTGCCCATGACCTCTAAAGCCTCTGTTCCCTTATGCTCCAGGAAACACGTGCACTTTCCATTCTTCCTGCCTTCACTTTCTTATTACTGAGTAGAAATCTAGAGTCCAGGGAATTGGTCTTCTGTGGAATCAGAAGACACCTGGCTTTTTTAAGGGCACACTTGGCTTTTCTATCCAGATCTGCTGTATCTAGGGGAATGAAAGTCTTGGCTCAGCTGAGACACCTGTACACCCAGGGGAAAGGCCTGGAGGTTTTCTTGGCTCTTTTCCTTAAAAATGTGGGGATAAGATAAAGAGCCCCACCCTTCCCTCTAGAGCTGCACAGAGGTGACACTGTTTTCACGTCTCCTCGTGATGCCTGCCTTTGACAGCATGCTCAGTAGCCCAGTGAAATAGTAAGCAAAGTGTCCTCACCTCTTTTCTAGGTTGAAGAACTAGCCCTCCAATCAATGATTAGTTCTAGGAGAGGGGATGAGACGCTATCTTCTCAACCTGCACCTGAACAGTCACATGATGTAAGTTGAATCAAGTGTGGGCCCAGGGAGAGAATGCAAAGTGCATTCTGCTCTTGTGCTGCTTGGAGGCCAAAAATTGTTGTAAATTACATTATCAAGCCCAGAGGACTCGGAATTGCTTGTGAGAGCTTTCTAGTTTAATAAACTGGCTATTTCATATCACTGTTTTAGACAGGAAACAGCCCACCTTTCTACCAGCTGGTCACACTTTGATTAACGAGGTACTGTTGTATTGCCTGCACCATTCTAGTCATCTGACCTCTCTAGTTACTCCAGTGAACCCAGGGAGAGTTGGAGAGCTTTGCAGGCATTTGTCACAAACTTCCACTGCCTCATGAATAAGTAAGCCTGGGATTTAAGAGTGTAGCTTCAGCTACAAAGCATAGTGCTAAAAAGTGAATTCCAATCCTCAACATCTCGTCCTCCTAACGTCCTCAAGTAAAATAGTACAATATTCTTCTTTCTAAATATACCGTATTTGAGCACTTCTCCCAGATGTGTTTAAGCCATTTAAAACCATTTGAAAGGAGCACATCTAGGCCAGCATAATTCTTACGCATGAACCATGTTTGTAGATCAGGCAACATTCTGTCAAATCTAGGGCATTTACTCTCCTCCCATTTTGGCAATGGGGAGGTGGAGGTAAGAGGGTCAGGGTAGAAATTGGAGAAATAGGAAGTGGCCTTACCTCCTGATGATAAATATTGGGGATGAGGATGCAAATGAGATTTGATTTTAAAACCTGTTTAAGAATTTGCTGCTTTGAGGCCAGTGTCTTTCCTACTAATCCATAATGTCCTTGCCTAAAGCAGATGTTGGTGCATGTAGACAATGAAGCATCAATCAACCAAACTGCACTGGAGTTGAGCACAAGGAGCCATGTGCCCGAAGAAGAGGAGGAGGAGGAGGAGGAAGAAGAAGAATCAGATTCCTGAAGCAGGGTAGGGAGGAGCCAAGCTTAGTTACAGGAATTAAGTTTCTACATCTCAGGAACTTTTGTCTCTTCAAAAAAAAAATGGTCTTTCCATAGGCCTTCTGGCCTGCTTTACAAGGAAGAACTTTAGGATGTGTAGTTGTGAAAATGGTTCCATCAAGAACTCAAGTTTCAGAACGCTTTAACAAAAATTAGCGACATATGGAAAAGCAGAGTCTTAGCATTGAGCAGTACGGGTGGTGCCGTGACTGTATTAGTGATTATGCTCCAAACAGAGTTTCCTCTACAATGCTATTGAGAAAGTCTGCCATTTGCACAAAGGGCAGAGGTTAAATACAAGTCAGCCTTTCCAGTCAACATTGCCTCTTCAGAAAACCAATTAAAGGCTGTCTGCATGCCATCGAGCCATTGTGAGCAGAGCAAGGCCACGGTCTAGGAGAGAAAGATGACAAGTGAGGAGCACAGAGGGCCACTTGAGAGCACAAGCTGCCGCCACCCCTCGGTGGGGCAGGTAGGACTGCTGTGCTGTGGAGGGCTTTGTGGGGCTGCCATCGTATGTAGGTTGAGACATCACGGTGGTAAAATGTGCTTAGAAATAAAGTACACATAAAGAGCTGTCATGCAGCTTCCTGGTTTCCAGATAAGAACAGAGAAAAGGATTAGTTCCTCCCCTGGGGCAAAAAATACAGCAGGATGGTTTAAAACCCATTTCTGGACTTAGGAAATGTGCCATTAAATCACTATGCCTGGAAGACTGACTGGGGTTTTGTAATAATGACAGTTACAGAATTACAGTTGTTAAAACTTAGTACTTGCAGTTTAGATTCACTTATGCATACTGTTCCTCTTCCAGTGAATATACAGTTAAGTAGTTGCTTAATTTTATAAAATTTGCCCTGCCCAAGCAACAGAAAAGCCAAACAGAACAGAGAATCTCCTCAAGCAAACCTTCTTCTGTAACTGTTCCAGAAAAGAACATGAATGTATTTATTAATCAACATTTCATTAAAGTTATTTTGAGCTACTCTTAAAGGAAATAGAAGTTTAAATGAGCATGTTTCTTGGAAAATACCGTGTGAAAACTTTTGCAATGAAAAGCAATCAAGCTGTACACTTGGGGTTTTATTTAAAATAGGAGCATGGGTTTTTGAGAGCTAGAAAAGTTGGCTGTGAATTCTAGCTCTACTACTAACTGGTTGCTGGCCTTCTTAACTCTTTGCAGCTCTCAGAGTCCTGTGGTCAAAGGTATGCCTACCTGAGCCAGCACTTTCACAGGCGGTTGTGGTGTGCTTAACGAGGTATCATGTAAAACCACAGCTGTTGTTGGTGTCTCAGCAAGAGGGAATCTAAGGAAGGGATTTGACATAGGGAACTCAAAACAGCCAGACTGAGGCAGGTAACCTCATTCTTGGTAAAAATTAGCAGGAAAAAAACCTTTTTGACTCTCAAAATGTAACACACTTTTGTATGTAAATAGAGAATTTAAAATACCCCTCAAAAGACACTGAACATGAAAGCATTCAGATCCAGGTATTAGACTCTAGGTGACACCTTCCTCCCTAGTTGCAGTTTGCACATTTTAACGAGACCTCGGTTCGTATCCTGTCCTATCCCTTAGCAAAAGACACAGGGTGTGAGTCTTAAACCTTGGTCTGAATGGATCTTGTTTAGGTTAGACTGTTGACTTAGAACAGATGTTAGCCTCACAGCGAGAGAAAATGGACTGGCTGAGGCAGCGATATATATACGACTGAGCAGTTTTTAAAATCCTGCCTATATTCCAAGCTCTGGTAGGTCCAGAATGGAACTACCAACTCAGGAGATTTACCCAGGTCCTGCTTTTAGTTTGAAAACAAAATAGGCCTTTTGTTTTTAAAGACGTGTTTATTTTGGTTTTCTGTAAGCTGCCTCTGGAAGAAAATGATGGAAGAGGTGCCAACCAGGCAGCATCACGTGTACCTCAAGTTCCGAAAGTCACTTGGGCAGAAAAGGCATCCATGGTCAGTTGGGACATGGCTTTGTTTTCTGTGACTTCACTGCTACCTCACAGGCAGGACAAAGCCGGCACCAGGTCCATTCCTCTCCAGGAAAATGGAAAAAAGTCACTGGTGAAAGCGGGGAGACAGTTGCTCAGTGGAGCAAAGCAGCATGGGACTGGGTGTCCTGGGCGGAGGCTCCCACACCAGTCGGGCTGGCCAAGAGCGGAGTGCTCCTGGGAGCACGCCAGTGACACCCCAACCCCACCTTGCCTACTGCTTTTCCCTGTGTAGAAATGGCAGGAAGAGAGGGAATCTAGTCAGAGGGCCACAGGAAAGGTAGCTGGAAGATTCACACGTAAGTGGAGAGAAGCGTTGGACAAAGTCCAAAACTTGGAATCACGGATCCATTAAAGCCCAGGGCACCGAACTTGTCTTCGCTATGGCACTTCTGCCTTCCAGCCTCCTTCCCGTCTCCACCTGTGCCCTCACAAGAAGGCTTGGCTAAATCATTGGACTTTCTTGTGTATGTGTACCCGAGACACTGAAAATCCTTCCCCAAAAGGAGACCTATTTTTCCATCCTTTTAACTTGATAGTATATTTATTAGAATAAGAGATTAGATTTGTTAAACATCTGGACTGAAATGGTTAAAAGGATTTTCATACAATTTTTAGGCACTATACACACTTGTTTACAATAGCATCAGTACTTGGATTTGGGGAAAGAGAAATCTCATATATTTTAATGCCTTGATCCATTTGTAACATTCAAAGTAACCACCATATTAGAAACACTAGTTCAAACTTGAGACATAAACCACTAAATATCCCACATAATATATTTAAAAATAAATATAGAAATACAACCAGAAGTCTATAAATCATCACAGCAGACAGACTGGTGAAGCCCCAGCTATCATGGCAGTGAAGGGCTCTGGCTAGATTTTGATAGAAATTGCTTCATTCTACACCAAAAGCAAAAATATAATAAAATGATACATACTTTCTGATGTTCTTTATCGTAGCAGCAAAGCATGCTTCACATGCACTGCCTGTGAAGGATCTTACGAGGCCCCTTCCTACTCAAATAGAAGGTATGCCTGGCAAGAATGCAGTACCACCAAGTGTCAGAGAATCCCGAAAATACAGGCAGCTAGCCAGTCACGGCGAGGGAAGAGCAGTGCAATTTTCCGTAAGTAAGAATGACTACCCAGGGTCACCAAAGTTTCACTGTAATTCAACGTTGTGCGTGTGTTGATCGACATACACAAAAATAGCCCCAAGCACAAAGCCAATCCACTTAGGGAGAGAACAGGAAGAATAGAGACAGTAATATTAAAAATGACACAAGTAGAATTTTGGCACATGCTGTGTTCTTCATCCTTTGTCATAGGTGAGATGCACGTCTGAGCAGACAGGCGTGGGCAAGAGGCCCGGAAGCGACATGGCACACCACTGGGCAGGCGACTCACTCTTCGCCGCTTCCCACGTCCTTAGACGCCGGCTGCGTGGGTCGGTGTGCTGGGCTGGTTAAGGCCAATGGTGGAGCAGAGCCAACCTGCAAAATCCACTTCCTCCCCGTCCGATCTCTTGATAAAGGCATGAACCTGTGTGCAGGGAAACAGAGTAAGTGGTGGTAAAAAATCGAAAGGAGAGGTCGAGAGTCCTGGGTCTAGAGCTTCTCTTGGAAGGAGCTCCCGGAGCCCGTCCTGGGCCAGCAGCTGCCACAAGAGCCTGCTCTGCTCGTCTCATCAGCTGAGGCCACAGCCCCCACGCACCGCCCTGAGCATGCGCTCCTCCCCTGGGGCCTGGGCACGGGAGCGCTGCCCTCCGCTCGGCCCTTACACTGCCCGGCAGCTGAGGTGGGAGTAGGGAATGGGCTCAGGGAGTACCGGGCAGGCAGACTGACAGAGGACAAATGAATAAACAGGACGTGTACAAATTGGATATCAATGGACTTACCATGAGTTGCTTCAGATCTGCTCTCTCTGCTGGGTTTTTTATTAAGCTGAAAGAAAAAGATAATGTGAGAGAGCTTGCCTGGTGCTGGTTTGCCCTCCAATTACTTGCACTTACGTGCCTGCCCCCCCACCGCCCGCAGGTTCTGAGGAGTGCTTGAGCCTTCTCGACCTTCCTGTCCTGGCAGAGCGGCCCGCCCGCAGGTGAACAAATGCCTGCGGAATCAAACGAAGACCAAAAGGCACCATGCCAAGCCCGGCAGAGAGGTGCCGAAAGCCGCAGCTTCACCCACTGCCGTAGTCCGACCAGTCCCCGAAGCCGTGGCACTCTGGGAGTGCAGGGAGAAGGGCAGAGCTCTGCTCCCCAAGACTGGGCGGGGAGGCTGACAAAAGCAGCGTACTCTTCCAGAGGGCAAGGAGCGGACTTACCACTTATTCACAAAATCTTGAAATTCCAGACTGAATACTCCACTGGGCAGTTTTGGAGGCGGCTGCAAATACATGTCAGGACCTAAGAAAGGCGTGCTTCCTTCTCCACCCGTATTCCCCACAGACCTGCCCCCCTGCAGACCTCGGCGCGGCGCTGCCCTTACGCAGCCACGGGGAGGCAGGCCCGGGAGGCCAGGCGGAAGCTCTGGTCTCACGACGCACACTCAGAACTGGGGCCCAGTTAGCGTTATGCCACTCACTGGCCTAGTGACGAAACAAACCACTGTTTCTCCGCGAACCTTAGTTTATTGTTCTCCGAGCTGCGGAGGGCCTCGTGACAGTCCCAACTGTAAACCTCGGGGTGTGGCGTGGACACACCCCCACCAACTCCCAGCGGCCGCAGCTCGGGGCTGTGCGGACCCCCACGCGTGCACGTCACAGAAGCTACCTAAATGGTAACAAATGTCTAGCCCTTTTCCGAGCCCTGAAGAAGTGGAGCAAAGTTAGTAATAAAACATTGGCTGACAGAAAGGACTGAGTCTGGAAGGAATGTTCCCTGCACCCTCCCTCAAGGAATGCGGCTGTGCGCAGGCATCGGCGTGAGGACACGGGCAACAGCTCTGTTTTCCCAGGGTCCGCGGTGGCGGTCGCGCGGGGTGATACGGGACAGGGCCCTGGGGCGCCTGGCGCACACACTCCACCCTCGCATGACCTGTGCTGGGTCTGAGTGCAGCTCCTCGTGAGCAGACTCCCAGGCCGTGCCCGGCCAGATCAGCAGGCCATCTGAGACCGGAAATTAAGCCACCGACGTCACCTAAAAGGCCTGCCTCCCCCTCTCGCCCAGAAGGCCTTACCAGAACAGCAGGTCAGTGAGCCTGATCTGAGTCAGGGACTAAAACCCAGCTCTCAGGGCACCCTGCAGACTGTCGCTGCTGCTGAGGGGGAAAAAGGGAACGCTCAAGGGAGAGATGGACAGCTTGGCCTCCCAAGGCCAGGCCAGTCCTGAGCAGGATGGGGGGCAAAGCAGGGGCCGTGAGGCGCCTGCACCTGCTGCCACACAGCCCAGCGGCCTGGAAGGCGTGGGTGGTAAAGGAAGAGCACTAGGTGGGAAGGACCTGAGCTTTTCTTCCTGGCGCCCGAAGCTTCCTCACCTGTACGAAGAGGATAATGAAGCCAGCTGGCCCCCCAGAGGCAAGCAGGGCACACCCGGGGACTGGCAGCGGCTTATTTAGCCCAGGCCGTCTCCCCCCTTGATGTGGCCCCCCCCAGCTCAGGTCCCAGCAGTAGAGGGTGGCCTTCTTGACCACCACAGACGCAAGGCACTCTGCCTCGTTGAACCCTTAAACAGCTGAGATCACATCTGACTTCTGTTCCGTGTCCCATGGTGCTTAGCATAAAGCTGGACAGCAAGGAGAGGTCAATTAACCTCCCTGGCCAGTGATGTATTAACTGCTGGGGTGAAGCAGGATTTTCCCTGTTGAGTTTGTAAGGGACAAGGGGACCCTTTTGAGGTCTGGTTTTAGAGCACAGTAGAAAGTATGAAAAGTCCTTCCTCTTGTCTCTTGAAGAAGAGCACAGGGCTATGCTTTTACTGTGTACCCCAGCGGCCTCCCCAACCTCACGGAGCTGGTTCTCACGCACTACCCGGGCTGCCCGAGCCGGGCGTGCTGGCCCTGCCACCTAACATCCCGTCCCGAAGCCCTGCTCCCCTAGCCCTGTCCCACCCTCTGCACCACCGCTTCCCGCCCCCTCTAACCCAGGTTGGAAGACTGCTGGTCGGTCTCTTGTGTCCTCGATCTTCTTTTAATTTAAACACAGATAATGTGTGTTCTCTGCATTAAAGTCAGCCAGCAGCAATAAGCCAAAAGAAACTTCCATCACCCCGAGAGAATCAGTTTCATACTACTTTCCAGACTTCATATGCACATACATGCACAGAATTTTTTTCATATTTTTAAAGAACTGATCACCATATACGTAGTGCTTTGTAGTGTTTTTCACACAATCTGTAGTGAATATTTTCCATACTATTTCTACACTGTCATTTTTTTTTACATCTACTGGTTTTTAATGGCACTTACCAGAGAAGACCCTATCCTACGGGTATGTATGTATTTGTCTTGCCTCCCACATGAAGCTAACAGTCTTCACGACTAGGGACTTCTGTTTTTCCATCTGTGGACCGCACCTCATCCCTACCATCACCCTGCAGTGTGCATGCAGCCCACAGTAAGCGCCCAAGAAATGCCTGGTGAATGAAGCAGTAAGAATGGAATGAGCACACTCGAGGCTCCTGACTCTGAGAAAGGGAGAGAAACTCAGAGCTACTCAAAGATGTTCCCTGGGGAAGGGACACCTATAACCTCTAAACCAGCCACTCCATTCCAAGAGCATGATGCCTTACAAGAATCCCCTTGGGGCCCAAAAAGCCTCACTGTGCAAACAACTCACAGGTATCCCAATCAAATACACTGTTCTCTTAATAGAAGCAAATACCAAAGTCAAAGAAGCCATGCAGTACTTACCTCGTTGACTATGTAATCCAACAACTCAAAAATTGCCATGGGAGGTCGGCTGTCCATTCCATAAGCTACAGATTTTATAACAAAAAAGAAAACACTTCTCAGAAAAACTGGAAGTTATTTGCCACTGTGAGGCTAGGGACTGGGAGTAAGGGTCCTGGGGACCAGAACAGGGTTGTGGATGATAAGCAGAGACACAGAGCCACAGATAAGGCTGAACACACAGGGGAGCAGCAAAGGCCACAGAGCTGGCCAGCCAGGGTAGGAGTCTGGGCTCTACCACCTCCAAGGTTTGCGACCTCAGGCAAATCCACTGACTGCTAAGCTTAGTAGTGAATTTGCTGCAGTGGAGATGGATAATCATCATGTCTGCCCTTCTTCCCTTCCTCACATTGAGATAGGAGTAAATGAGGTAATAACTAAGAAACTCAAGGACTCAGTTTTAATTCTCCCTGAACTTGGGTTTCTTCTTTTATCCTCCAGAGTCCCAGGCCAGCTTCAGGGGCCACAGCCATAGCCCCTCCAGTGACCCACCACCATCAGCTATCCCTGCCCTCCTCTGTTTCTCCCTTCATATATGCCCTCTCTCATGAGAGCCTCCCAGGGGCAGACACCAGGTCCTCATGTTCACAAATGTCCCAGCAGGAAGTACATCAGAAGACGGTGGCTGGGCCAGGATCTTCCAAGTACCAGGTTTACTTCTCAGTATGCATGATCCGAAAGGCAGGCCGTGCTGCACAGCGCTCAGCACCTAGGACTCAGACTTGGCCACTTAGTGTGCAGTCTTGACAAGTCAGGCACTTTGTGCCTCAGTTTCCTCATATTAACATAGAGATTATTATAATAGTGCTCACACACGATCGCTATTAAAATTAGGTAATACTCAGCAAATCCATGGAGACACAAAGTAGATTAGCGGTTGCCAGGGGCTGGGGGTGGGAGGAGATGGGAGTGATTGCTCATGGAGGTGAGGTTTCTTTTAGGGTGATGGACATGTTCTGGAAGTACACGGTGGTGATGGTTGCACAACATAGAAGAATATACTAAAATCCACTAAAATGTACACTTTAAAATGTGCATCTTATGTTATATAAATTTTATCTCAAAAAAAAAAATCTACCTAAAAAAAGAGGTCATAATTTTTTTAAATTCAGATAGTGCATATAAAGTACTAAATGCCGTGTCAGGAACATAGCCAGCACTCAACAAAGGGTGAGAAGATGTTGGTAGTAACAGTAATGTTAACACCCACCTGGAGACCCCTGCTCTGCTTCCCGCCCTGGCCCCAGCCTGGCATCCAGAGACAGGCAGTCAGTCTTGGGAGAATGTTCAGAGAATCAGCCCTCCAGAAACCCAAAAAAGAATAAGGTCCCCACCCCCCCTGCCCCCAGTCCAAGCGGGGGCCACACCAGGCCACTCACAGCTGAGGGGCCTTCCAGGGGTCCTTGGTCTGGGTGGCGTCTCAGCCGCATCTCCCTCCACTTGGCACCCAAACATCAGCTCCAGCTCCTTAGCATCTGGAGGAGGGATGGGATACCTCCCAACCGCCATCTCAACCAGAGAGAGCCCCATGCTCCAGATGTCCGACTGCACCGAGTAATGAGTCCCCTGGAGTCTTTCTGGCTGCAGGAGACACAGACAGTTCTGATCACCTGTGAGCTAATCTGGGCCCACGCAGCAGAGGGAGAGACCCGTCCCCATGGAGGCTCAAAGGGAGGCCTCAAGAATCCCTGCCCCTTTGAGCCTTGTTTGCACTGCAGGGTGTGGGCCGCCCTGCTTGGTCTTAGCCCTGGCCGTGGAGCTGCTGATGGATTTGATCTTCTTTAGGACCTCCACTAACTGCTTTAATTTGGTTTCTGCCCTGCCTCCAACTACTGTGTTCACCAAATCCTAGCTGGCTCCCGGGGCTCTGACCCATGCCTCCTCACTGCCCTCAGCTAACAGCCTCCAGCCCGCCTGCCCCCCGGCTGCCGCTCCAGCTGTGGCTCCAGCTTCGCCCCCAGCTGGGCCCAGCCTCATCACTGCCTTGCACGTGCAGAGTAGCCGGTTCAAAGCCCAGCCTGCGAGGCTCATCTTGTCACCTGGGTCTGGAACATGTGGCTTCTGGAACATGGGTCATGAATGAGGTGTGCAGTGGGTAGAAAGAACACCGGTCTTTACAGTCGGAAAAGTTGAACTCTAAGACCAGCTCCACCATGGACTCACTGACTGTCCTTGGACAACATGGAACAGCAGAAAAGGCAGAGGATCTGGGGTCAGGAGATCATGTTCAAGTCCCAATTCTGCAACTTGTAAACTACATGATCCTGAGCCTCAGTTTCCTCATCTATAAAGTGAAGCTGATGAAGGTGGTGGTGACGACAATACGGACATCACAAAATACCCGCTTCTCCTTACGGGGGTTACTGAGAAGGTCAAACCAAATGGAAATATATGTTAGATGCTGCAAAATGCTACACAATATGGGTTGTTACTGGCAGGAGGAGTCAGGGAAAAAGTACATAGTGCTACACAAAGCGCTATTTGTTAACTCTACAAAAAAAAAAAAAATCTTCATTCTGACCATTGAACGTTTTTTTGGACATCATTAATATCTCCCAGAGGATTTTTCACTAACTCAAACACTGGACTATTTTGGAACTGACCATGTAACCACAAAAACCCAAACCACTAACCCTGGACCAACAGGTCCCAGGGCCTGTTAACTGATTTTGAACTTTGAAGTTGGCAGGTGAGCGGCCCAGAATGCTAGCTACTCAACTCTTAGACACTTAGACACTTAGGGAAGAAGCTGGAGGGCCCACCGGTTTCATGTTTCTGAAAGACCGTGTGTCACTGGAGTGGAGGGCATGGAAATGTGGGTCAGTACTGGGCCAGTCATGCTGAGAGTGGCTGTCAAGGTGGGGACCGGAAGCAGCTGCCAAATCGGACCCAAGAGGCAAGTGAGGGCGTGCTGAGCAAAGGGGACTAACTGGCCAGGAGACCTGGCTTTCAATCCAGGCTCTGCATCTGGCTTTCCTCATCTCTAAAAATGGGAGCGATGATCTGCATTTCACGGGGCAAACACATCGAACAAATGAGATCACTCAAGGATGTGGATGAGAATGCGGAAAACACCCTATGTGCTCGGTGCCCCAGCCTCTGTGCCTCCCCCTCGGATTGATCCGTGCCCGCACTCACTGCCACCTCCATGGAGATCCCCACTCACCCTAATGCCCCTCTACACCAGCACGCACCGAGAGTCACATTTCCCCCTTTCTGAATCCTTCTCTGCAGCACCCTAGCCATTTACCACCCATTCAGTCAACCGAACATTAGCCTGCTCACCAAGCACTCCCCAAGCACCTACCACATGCCAGGCCCCAAGCCAGCCCCCTAGGGACAACTAAGACTCCCCCCCGCCCTCTGCCCCATGGTCCTATTGCTGCCCCTGCGGAGCTCGTGGCATGGGGGGAAGAAGAGAACACGCGGATGCTGCCACCTCCTCAGGGAGGGGCGGTGATGCCTCCTCCCTCAATTCCTTCTCCTCCACCCCCATCACCCAGCACACACGTTCTGGCTCCACAGGAAAAGCCACCCACTTCACCCCTATCCCCAACCAGGCCAGATGCTCAAGAAATGGAACCCACTGCTCATACCGACATGTAGGACCGTGTGCCCACGAAGGAGTTGGCCATGGAGTCAATGAGCTGCCCGCTGACCCCAAAGTCACAGAGCTTGATCTCCCCACGGGAGTTCACGAGGATGTTGGAAGGCTTGACATCTGCAGGGGAGAGAACACAGGAGAGGAGGGAGTTGACACAGGTGGACTGGGGAGTGGAAGGGTCAATGCTCTCCAGACAGACCAGCCCTGACCATGAGTCCAAGACCTGCAGCCATCACATAGCCAGCCCTTGGCTTGCAAACGCTGGACACCAAGGTCCCTTATTCCCCCTTGTTCAAGGTTCAAGAAAAAGAATTGTCAGGAGAGGAAATGGCAACCTGTTGTAAAAGTAGGACAGGAAGTCAGTGGATTCCCACTCTGAGAATCCAGACTTGAACACATGACCCACAGGAGGTAATCAGTTATGAATAATCGGGATTTCAAACTTCGTTGCTTCAATCACCCTTACTGGCAAGATCAAGTACCTATGGTTGGATCATAAGGCAGGAAGAAAAACACAACTAATAAGACCTGTATGCTTGCTGAGGCTACAGACCAAAGACTACAAAGAGATGGGGGGCAGGAATTTCGATTCTTGGCCTTGATACCAAGCATGGAGCATTGTGGGCTTTCTGAATATGCGTGGCAGAGGCTGGGAGGTGCCTTATGATTGACTTTCTCGGAAGTCATTTCCCAAACAGCCTCCATAGCTGCAGCCAGCTGTCAGTCCAGAAGAGCCCCTAGTGGCCCTGCCGGGGCCAGGCAAGGCATACCCCCAGAACCAGCCCCAACCCCTCCCCTGCACTTGGGCCCCCCCCACTTCCCACCTAGCTGCCCCCCTCACTACTAGTTCACCTGCCCTTCCCTTTGCAGAGGGAGGTGAACTTCCAAATATTTTCTTCCCCCGTTTCCCCTGTAAAGTGGGCAGAGCAGGGTCAAGTGTTCTCATTTAGAGGTGGGGAAATGAGGCTGGGACTTGGTTAAAGTCCCCAGGCCAGGGATCTGTGGGCAGACATCAGCAATGAGACTCACTCTATAAGCAGGCCTACCCAGGGGCAAAGCATAAACCGGACAGGCAGTCTTTGACAGAAGAAAGACAGACACTATTCTAGAGTATCTGGAGAATTAGAGGAAAAAACCAAATCCCCGTTAAGTCAAAACTACCAGAACCACTATTCCCATTTTATTATTTTTCCCTTTAGTACTCTCAGATGAATGCATTTACAGGCCCACCTCGGAGATCTGGCAGGTTCGGTTCCAGACCACCGCAATAAAGTATCACAAGAGTCAAATGAATTTTGGGGGGTTTCTGGTACATATAAAAGTTATGTTGGGACACCTGTGTGGCTCAGTTGGTTAAGCAACTGACTTCAGTTCAAGTCATGATCTCAGGGTCCTGGGATCAAGCCCCAATCGGGGGAAATCCATGCTCAGGAGGGAGTCTGCTTCTCCCACTCCTGCTCCCCACCCCTCCACTCATGCTCGCTCGCTCCCTGTCAAATAAGTATTTTTTTTAAAAGTTATGTTTACACTAGACGGTAGTCTAGTAAGTATACAGCAGCATTATGTCTAAAAAAAAAAATATACATACCTGAATTTAAAAATACTTTATTGCTAAAAAATGCTAACCATGGTTAACCTGAGCTTTCGGCAAGGCATAATCACTGATCACAGATCACCATAACAAATATAATAATGAAAAAGTTTGAAAAATTCAAGAACTGGGAGCGGGGGCGCCTGGGTGGCTCAGATGGTTAAGCGTCTGCCTTCGGCTCAGGTCATGATCCCAGGGTCCTGGGATCAAGTCCCGCATCGGGCTCCCTGCTC